AACTTTAAGTGGTCTGAAAGAATCGTTGCAAACGAATTTCAGTAGCATGTGAATAGAGATATGCATCCGGACTGATTCGCATTAGCATATAAATAGTTGAGCATCCAACACTGCGTCGGCACCGTAACGCCTTCTGCTAGATGGTGCTGCACAAGCTTACAATGGGAATGAATGAGGCAGAACATAAATCCGCTATGCCTCACTACAATAATTATGAATTAGATGTTGGATAGCAGCCTAGTCGTAAATAAAAGGACTGGATTTTCGTGCTGCAAGCTTCTGTCATTCTGACAGGGCATCAAGTCGAAAAGCTAGGCCTTTTATGTTTCTTGCGCTGAGATGCAGAAAAATATTTAAAATGACTGTATGCCACTGCGGCTCCTTACGTACTTACAAATTTCAGCTCCCTGACTTCTGGGGTTCGGTTTCTATAAAACACTGCAACAGATGCTTAGACATGCGCAGATTCACACACACACACATGCATGCACTCACACACATACGCGTAGACACACGCAGATGTGAGTCCGCCAGCAGGGTTTTTGTGATTTAGGCAAATACTATGCGATAAACAAAAACGTATATATCCGGATGTTTGACTGCAGTACGCTTTGAGCAAAACGTTTACGGTGAGCAAAGAAAAGGAAGAAAGTCAAGATAAGAAATATGTACACACTTATTCAGGAAGTAGGCGAAATGAGTTGAAAGCATGAATATCCATATATTCAAATCAGTGTGAGCACTAATAGACCTAGCAATATCGATGACTATAGTGGTTGATAAGCTTTTTAACAACTTTTAAAATGAAATTGGGGAATTTCATGGAGTGAGTTAAAGTTGTTACTGTAGTCTGTTTTATCGAGAAATCGAAAATCGCCACTGGTTTTTGTTTAGCAAATTTTGACCAGAATGACGCCCAGCCTAACGCTTCTAGTTGCAATTACTACCTCTTGATATTCCTGATGTCATCGAGCGAATTGAGATCGGGTGAAAGGCCGCCATGCATGCATAATATTTTGCCGGCAACAACTGCTGCCAGTGGCATTTCGGCAAAAACTTCATTAAAATGATTGTAGAGGCCTTGAGCATCTGCCTGAATACGGTATCGGGTTCGGATTTCTGCCGCAAAACCGTAGGTCCTGAATTAATGTCAGCACAATTAATTCCACAAGGTTGTGTAAAAAATTCATATCGTAAAGTGTATCACAATGCACTTCTACCACAGACGAAAGTTTTCATTTTTCATGAAGCTAACTGCAGTAATGTATAAATGTTTCTCGATGAGCTGGGTTTACGGACTGTGCGGGGCAGATTCACGACAAAAAATGGCGCAACGCTAATTCTATGGAAGTGATACGTTGCGAACAGAAATAGTTGGCCAGCGCATCGACTACCGACGCGAAGATGCGTTTTTTGCATGGTTCCCAGCGAGTTTTTGTCACTAAAGGCACCAGTTCTTCCGGCAGACGCTTTAATAAACGAATTGAGAATGAACACCAGAACTGTTAGGAAACATCTCCTTAAAATTTCAGCTTTCTTGGTTTCCGAGTTAGCAACATACCCACCAACACTTTCCACTGGCCAAACATGGCAACCCCGCATACCTTGGGGCTGGGTTTGAAATAATTAAGACCTACGTAAATGAGGAACATCCCCTTAAAATAACCGCCTTCTAGCTTTTCAAGCTCCCGAAGCAGCCACTTACCCGCAAAAATTTTTAACGGGCAGAGCCG